CTGTAGAAAAGTGCTTTCTGCTATTCCAGGCATGTGTCGGACCTCTCTCTCTCAGCATATGGTGCACATTGCATAAGGCCTTTCTGTCTGATACAGAACGTTTCTGCAAAAGAGGGCACCCTTTGTCTCTTGACATCGCTTCTATTTTGAGTTTGTTACCCAAGGGAGCAGTTAGTCATCCATTTTTCTTTCTAAAAAGATTTTTTAAAGGTATAGCGTTAGAGCTGTGTCGGGTGATAAATTGACAATTTATGTTTGAGATCATTTAGTAACTGTCTCCATGACATAATCTGTCCACCAGAGAACACACAATTCTTTGGCAACTTTAAATGATTCTTTTCAAGAAAAGTGTAGAGGTTTTAATGTCAAACTTAGACGTGTCCCTTTACCCGAGTTATGCCGAGTTCGAATTACCTGTCTAATTAAAGGTAGACTGTGGACTGTGGAAAAGTTATGTTTGCTTTCAGTGTTACTCACCAAAACTCATTGTCTGCATGCTTGAGCTCTAACAAACATGTCAAGTGCATTTTCTTCTTCATACATTTGCAGCACTGAAGTATTTTAAATCCTGAATTGTTTACATCCATGGTAAATAGCTTGCAGTCTTGTTCTTCATGGCCTTTGTGTTTTGTGGTGCATTACAGTCACCTGTAGATCAGTGGAATAGTGTGACACCATTGGCAGCAATGTGTGTCACCCGAGTGCACATACTGTACACTGTGCATGTGTGTCCCCACGTGCATGCCTGAGAGAGAAAACAGACACCCACTCACACAAAAAAAACATTTTCGTGGTGTTACTAGAGCCCTAGCGACAGCCATGCTAGCAGTTCTGTGAGGCTGTACTTAGATGATGCTCCTTTGAACTAAATGCTATCATGTTCATACATAATGTACTGCTGAGGCTGATGGGAATGTCATTCATTTTGCAGGTATTTGGTCTAGATGGACAGACATTTTTTATCCCTAGAGCTACACCTATTGCTAGCATGTTGCTAAAAACAAATACCAGCGATCATGTAGTGACTTGTGCAGTGCACGTCTTGTGTGTGGACCCGGGTGGCCACTCATTGGAATTCTGGTGGTGCGTACGGTTGGCGCGGCGAGACGTCAGTTTTCGGTGTGGTGGTTGAGGTGGGTACGTCGACGTCCCGAGCTGGCTCGTTGGACGGTTGAAGAGCCTGGCCGATAGTAGGGAGCCGGCCGTCAGCTCAGCGCCTGTGTTACAGCTCGGCCCGTATATTAGATTATTTTGGTGGCTCGTGCAGGGTGTGCTCAAAACAATGTAATGCCCTGGACCATGAGCTGAAAGCTGCACTGCAGTGTGCGGGATGCTCATGTCTGTCGGGGGGGATATAGGTTTTTTTTTTGCTTTTCTTTTTTTTTTTTTTTCATCTTAATCCATAAAAGTCAAGATAACTTGGTATCTGCTGCTTCAATTTCAACCACTCTTTTTAAGTCTCTGGCCACATCCTAACTTTACAGTGGTGCCATACTATAGCTAAACTTCCTCTTTAAGTACATTTCTAGAATGAATGAGTATTATGAGGGTAAATGATTGTGACATGTGCAGTATGCATGTCAACAGTGGGCCTGCGCAGTAATATGCTGTCTGCACACTCCGCTCTGTCCAAAATGATTGTTAAATTACTGTCTGAATGAAAGTGGAGACCGCAGGAAAATGTTTTGGTTTAACTTCTGTCAAAATGGACGTTAAAGCTTGTTAATTACTCCTCCACCGGATGCAGTTCTGTCTGTCTGGCCTGAGTGGAATCTAAATGGATTTGACCCCAGCCTCACTCTCAGGCCACACTCAATTATCTGCATTTAGACTTGATGGTTACCACATTATTCCCTAAAAACCCAATTAAAGCTGCAGCACACTGGCTCCATTCTGGATGTGACTGATGACTCTGAACCCAAGTTCAACCAAACCATCATCTCTTAGCGGTTTGCCTCCGTGCTCGAGCACTTGCTGTGTGTTGGACTGAAACTGAGAAACAGCGGGCAAACCTAACTGAAAACAGCAGGACACCGCTGAAACCTTTCCTCTGCTCCAGCATGTGTGCAGGATATTAAATAATCATTTATGTGAAAAATATTCCTGTTATTCCAAGAGCGGCAGGAAGTCCCATCTGTGTCCTGAAAACGGTTCAAATCCTCCTGACTGAAGTGCGTTCCACCCCCACATTCCTCACCTGTAACAGACTGAGGGGGGAGGTGTGGTGCTGGCACAGCCCCTAATCCATCTCTTTTCTGGTCAGCCATTCATCTGCTCTGTGTTTTACAGAATGTCTGGTACTGGATCTTCTCTAGAGAGACACAAGGCTGGCATCCGTCTCAGAGACTCCAAAGCCCCCAAAATATTTTTCAGAAGCATTCACAACGACGTTAAGCTGAGCTGTAGCCACGGAAACTGAGCTTTTTGGCTTTTGTGGAGTGACCTTCGGATGCTGCCAAGTTTTCAAAAATCACTGTCTTTGAAGTTTGTCTGCACTGACACAGCAGGGCCACGTTTGTGATTGAGTTTACTGTGTTGACTCGGGTTATTAAGTCATTTAGAAAAGAAAACTGCAGTGAGTCCAGTCAAATTTATGCAGCCAAGTGATGTGGAATAACTTGAGTACATTTTGGTCCATGTTCGCAACACAAAGCGTGCTGTTTAATAATTCTTCAGTAGTACTCTATTGCTACTCATTGAGTTTTCCATATTATCAACACTTGACACCAGCTCTTTGCTCAGATGTAGACTCTTATCTTATCTCCTCCTCCACTTCCTCTTTTCTGTGCATTTCATACGTTCTGCTTGTTTCCCCACTCTTCTTCTTTTTTAACCAACCTTTTTTGTGCAATCTTAAGCATTATTTATGGCCAGCATGGTTGCTAAGGAGCTTGCTTTGTCGGAAAAGAGAAAAGGGACTGCAACAAGCATCCTGTCAAAATACTGAATCTACTATTTGTGGGGCTGCAACTAATGATTTTCTTCATTATTCATTAATCTGTTAATAATTTCCTTGTTTAATTGATTTCCCAAAGACCATACTGATGTCCTCAAATGTCTTGTGTTATTCATAGTGGACTAAAGAAACCAAAATATTCACAAGTGTTGAAATAATAATAATAAATTTTTTCTTCCAAAAATGACTCCAACGATATGCCTATTTGTTTAGAGAAGATTTTACAGGGCGCCCAGAAGCAGCAGCCATTGGTTCGAATTCAACCTGTGGCCCTTTGCTGCGTGTCATCCCTCCCTCTCCATCTTTCCTTTAGCCTTTCCTTTTTCCTTTTTCCTTTTTAGATAGCCTTTCCTATCTGATAAGGGGAAAAGCCCACGAAGAATAAATATTTTTAAAAAGTCATGCATGCTTTTATTAGGTCACGTCTCTTTATTAAGCCAAGTCACTCATTTGAAGCGAGGGTGCCAGCGCAGGGTCATCCAGCAAAAAGTTGAACCTGGCTCAACTCTGTCTACAATGCAACATCATCCGGCAGGGCGCTGCGTTAGCAAAACAAACTCATGCAAACTCACATTTCTGGTGGATTATCTCGTCTACCTCACAATCGAAAGATAACACAGTTGCCACGTTGATAACTTGAGCTGTAAAATCTGATCTGATAAGCCTTTAAACGCATTAACTGTTACTGCTGCTGCTGCACTTCCTAGCTTGTATTTCATTGTATGACTGCTCAGCGCAGCCCCCCCTGCGCTGCTTTCACATTGGTCGCCACTAACACCTTGATCACCTGCCTCTGTATATGTTCTCTAGCTGGCCCAGAGCTTTTTTAACACAAGCTAGGCATAGATCGCACATTGGTCCAATTTTAGCTTCTCTCCTTTGGTTCCTTGTCACTTACACTTTTATAAGTTTTACTGTTGACATATAAGGCATTCTATACTTAAAATAGTTATTTTAGCTGCTTAGATCTGGGAGCATCCTAATTTAGGTAAAGCAGGGATTTATGTTGGTTCAGAGGTCAAGGCTGAAAACTAAAGATGTTCACAAACAGACTCCTGCAAAGCCTCAGAGAAGCTAAATCAGCAGCCATATTTAAAAAGCATCTTCAAATCCATTTGTTTTCTCTGGCTTTCTCTTGATGTTATACCTTATTTTGTGTTCTACACTTCTGTTCATATACTGTCTTCTCTGTCTCGTGTGTTTCCCCCGTCTCTTTTTTTCCCTCTTGTAAATCACTGTGTACCTAGGGCTGTCTCAGTTAATTTATTAGTTATTTGTTCCATAAATCCAAAACCCAAAGATATTCAGTTTGCCGTCATAGAGGGCTAATAAATAATTGTATAATAATAAATAATAAATTCTTTCTTAAAAAATTACTTGAATCGATTAATTTAATAGTTAACAACTAATTGATTAATCTAAGCTGCTCTGTTTGTAACTTTGTAACACTTTGAAGCTATGTAAGTAGTGCTGGACAGGGTGAGGGGTAGGGGCTAGGGTTAGACAGATAAATGATTATGTAACTGTGCTGAGTCCATGATTAGAATCGGACTGATATGGTTTTAAAATATCTGCAAACCACATGTGGCATCTGATTTGATCAGCAGCTGCATCCTGCCGTGCAGACCGTCAGAGACTCATAACTCACGGCCTCACCTTCGTGCTCTTAGAAAGGGAAGTTGGGTTTATGTATAGCAGGTCTGATTTTCAGAGCTGAATGTGCATGTTTGTGATTCAAACGTTTTACGGTTATATTCCATAGTCCGGTCCAGGATGTGATAGCTGCTGGTTTCTGTGCTGGACAGGACCAACATTCCTACAGATACTTATATCTCAGAAGTATCAGCAGACTCTGGAGGGATTTCAGGGCTCTTTCTGGTTATGGAATTCCTATCATTCAATTTTCAAGGGAAAATCAGGACAGTCAAAGTCTCTGGAGACGTTAGGGGGTATCTGCTGAAAAACATACAGATCTTTAATAAAAGAGAGTTGTGCAGAAATGTACGTGATCTGACCTCTCTCCTTTTCTCCTACCCTCCACCAGACAACATCACCCACAGGTCAGGGCCGGTCCGACTCGCCGGTCTACACCAACCTCCAGGAGCTGAAGATCTCTCAGTCCAGTCTGCCGCCCGTCCCCTCCAGCTCCCCTCTCCACATCCTGGGCGACTGGGAGACCCACAAAGACCTGAGCGGCAGGCATTTCTACTACAACCGCGCCACCGGAGAGCGGACCTGGAAGCCGCCACGCACCAGGGACACGAGTGGGAGCACCAGCAGCATCCGAGGAGACAGCCAGGGCACAGCAGAGAGTGAGGTGAGGATGCTTGAGCCAGTTAAAGCCATTTCTTCATGTGCTTGCATTGCATATGGACTGTAAAAAGACATCTAACTGTGAGACACATAGACTTCTGGTCTTTTTCCACCTCTCAATCAAACACTAGGTGTGATCACAATGCAGGTGTTCAGTTTGTATGTGAGAAAAAGTCTGGGCTGAAGTTACAGTGGTGGAGGACATAAACAGTCTGTAATTGGATTCTCTGGCAGTCGCTCTTAAACAGGCTGCGGTGAAGGTGTGGTGGACCTCAAAGGGCTTTTAAAATGGTGTTGTGGTTACTGAAGGTAGAGAAACAAGAACGCCTTTGATATGGGGAAGTCATGGTTTCCTGTCAGGTTGCAGTTTCCTACCTAACTATCAAACACTGCCCCCATGTGGTGGTTTATTTTATTGCAGTATTATGTTAGAGAGAGACTGGCTAATTATAGGATTACTGGAATATAATGTGTGCTAAGTTGATAGGTTAATTGACAGAAAATCAATCAACGTAATAGTTAAAGCTTGTTCCAGCTTCTCAAATGTGAGGATTTGATGTTTTTCTCTGTTTTATATCATTATATTATGAATAAATATATGAATAGACTAATTAATCAATTCGTAAAATATATAATAAATACCAGTAATAAATGGTGAGAATTGTTATAAGTAGAAGTTATAATTTGTGGTCGACCGATATAGGTTTTTAAGTAGCTGATATATAATGGCAATATCAAAACAGAGAAAAGTCATGTATAGTTCCATTATTCCATGCACATTACAATCTAATATACAATGTTATCCTGACCAGTAACATGTTGTTTTAGACAGTTTTTATTAATGAAACAGAAAAATACATTGGTTTATGCTCTAGATTTCAAAACATGACTGGTTTCACCACCTTCCCAAAATTCACAAGGGGGGGTGCTAATATCGTTCCCCAGCAGCCATGCTGACAGCGGTACCTACACGTCTTTGACAGTTGACATTCTTTGTTTATCGGCCTCATAAGCGCAGGCATCAGCTGATTCCAATTATCTTAAAATGCCAGATGATCAGCCCGATTAATCAGTCTGTTTATAGGTATAATTATTACAGATGCATCATTGTATAAGCAGCATGGTGACGTTGTAGTTGCAGCATCTGGTTAGCTTAGCTTAGCAAGAATGGAAACATGAAGAAACGTATTAATACCTTATTATATCGTGTCTTGTTGTTAGTTTTCCAGTTTTTGTACCATTATTCTAAGTCTGAAAAATAGGGGTATAGAACCCCAGGTTCTGAGGTACAATTCCTGTGATTAACCCATTAATCCACAACTACTTCCTAGGTAGACATGGACTATTGCTATTTATACTACGTATAAAGTTTTTGTTGGTAAGCTTTGTGTATGTCACCTGACGAGCATGGGCGCCTGGCCAATCTAGCGCTTACATGCTACGCAGGGAGTGTCTTGGAAAGAAAAGCCTTGGGATTCGTAATTACACGCCAACTGGCTGCTGGTTCTAATGCTAAAAGATGAGTTTAAAGGAGCATAAAATACTCAAGTAAAGTAAAAGGTTCACAATGTCTTCATGAATGGCTCATAAAACCTGTTCTTCTGTCGGTCAGCCGCTGTCCTCAGAGGAGAACTGTCACAGCACCCACTCAAGTCAGTCTGACAGCCAGTACGGGTCGCCCCCTAGAGGCTGGTCTGAGGAGCTGGATGAACACGGACACACACTCTACGTCTCTGAATACACACAGGAGAAGGTGCAGTCTATTGATTAGCCACACAAATAATAGACTGATCACAGTGGTCCGGGGTCGATCATGTTTAGATTCACCCCTGCATACTGTGTCTATATATTGTTTGTAAATAAATTGTAAATATTGTTTTCCTTCTGTTTGGGAAACTGACTAGTGTTTGTGTTCGCAGTGGATAAAACATGTGGACGAACAAGGCCGGCCTTACTACTACAGTGCTGATGGGTCCAGGTCAGAATGGGAGCTGCCTAAGGTGATTGTATTATATTATGAACATTAGCTCTCCATGTGCTTTTGTCTTCCATTTACAGCCCATTTTAAGTAATCTCCTTCTCTTGGAGATCTTCTCACATTACATCACCTAACTACTACCCAGTAACACACATTTATGTGACTCCTCCTCCCCCCTGGTGTGTTTTCTTAAGACTGGTCCTGTCAGTGTAAGTGGATGAGTGTCTGAGGAGCTCACACAGGAGCCAAGTTTGTGTTGAACTGTGGGTGGCAGACTATTACTGGCTCTTGCTAATCTAGAGAGCAGATCAGAATCCATTCTCAGGCTGAATGGGCTGTAGTGCGGGCATGGATATATTCAGTGGACTTTACTGGGGACTGTTGAAGACAATGCCTGGGCTGTAAGGGAAGTCCCTCTGTCCAATGGTGCTGTGGAGAATAAAAGGAGAGGTAGGGGGCAAGGAGAGAAAAGATACTGAAGAGGGAGCTAGAATTACCATCTAGCAATTTTTGACGTCTAAACTTTAGCTCTCCTCTCTGTTTCTGCAGTACAATATCTCCCCTCAGTCCGGAGAGGTTCCCAAGAGTCGCAGTCTGGAGAGGAAGCAGCAGGATCCCATCGTCCTCACCAAGTGGAGACACAGCACCTACGTCTTAGACCTCAACGACAAGGTAAGGCACGATGAAGATGGCTGACTTTTGGGCCTGATAGGTGTGGACACAGACACTGTTGTCGCCACAGGATTTTATGTGGTCTTTCCATGACCTGTCTTATTGGCAGTGAGTTTAATCCCAAAGCACTAATGACCCTTTCAGCTCTACAGAGGAAAAGGCTTACAATGGCTTAATCTGTTATTGTTTGTATGTTATCAGACAGTGACGGCGATCTTTCTGTTTTGCATTAATTAAGATAACTTGGAGCAAGGTAATCCACTACAGCAGACATAATGTCTTAAAATAATGCGCTAGTGATTTACTGTAGTATTGCACTCTTATAACGTTGTGAAGAGAGAAATCTAAAAGAAATGGTCAAAAGTGGAGCTACGGAAGCCGAGATATCCTGACTAATATGAGTCAAGCTCCAAAAACACTGGATCCTACATGTCCCATAATGCAACCTAAACTTTACTGTCATATTTTATTTTTGGCATCTTTGTTACTTGCAGTATTTCATTCATTTCTTCCTTTTCTCTCTGTAAAATGACGTGCAGTGCATTTGAACAGAAAGGAATGTTAAATGTTAATAAACTCTTTCATACATCAAGTTTAAACTCAGAGTGAGGAGAACATATTGGAAGCTGACTGTGTGGCGCTTTCGTTGCAGTTCTCTTTCAAACTCTGGCGGTTCACTCCCCACTTGCACAAGAGGAGATTGCGTCTCTCTCTTAACCGTGATAAAGTTGGTACCACGCAGAGCCTCCCCCCCCCCCCCNNCCCAATCAACAGATGATCGGTTTTGATTCACTGTCGGTGTGTCCTGTAGAACGCCTTGTTAAATAGCTGTGGTAATACGGCAATCAAAGCCGCGTTAATCAAAGACGTCTGATTTTTTCTTTTGCGGCCAAACAGGAAGGAAGCAGCGTCTTGGAATCATTCTCTAACACTGATCTAATGCACTTTTCCCTCAGACACTCAAAAGCATGCACCTAAGTTCCCTTCATCCTTATCTTCTGATGACCTACACTAATATCTAACACTATCTTGTGATTCCTCTCCAGGTTTCTGATCCATTCTCCTCTCCTCACTAACCTCAGACTGACTGTCTTCACGTATCTCCTAGTTAGCTGCTAGTTATAAGCGACTCATCATGTTGTGCCTCTTGTTGTTAGGAGTGTGCTCCGGCGCCCAAGCAGAGCTCTCCAGACTCTGACTCCTGCCCCTCATCTCCTAAGCACCCCTCGACAGTTAGTATCCCAGCTTGCACTGCATCACACCACACTTTACATCATCATCCTGCTTGCATCTGAATACAGATATCTTCTAAACTCTCTACGTCTGCATTGCATTTGGTTTCTCTCATCAGCTGCATGCCACATCCCACGTTTAACCAAACCACATCACATCTAACACCATGGCAAAACAGTTCTACCAGCAGAAATGCAGCAATTTTGATTCTTTGCAGCAGTGTCAGGCTGCCATCTGCTGGTGATATTTGGGTATAACCTCAAGCAGCACAGCCACGTCTGGCCTCCAACATTATCCCATTCACTTCTCAAGCTTCAGCGTGTGTGTGTATGTGTGTATTTTCATGCTGTAGCAGGTTCTTATCTGCGTCTGTGTCTTCCTCCTCAGCCGTCAGAGAAGTGCGGAGTCCTCAATGTCACCAAAATCACAGAAAATGGAAAGAAAGTCAGGTAGGAATCTTAATCTAAACGACTCCACGTGAAACTCAGAAATCCTGGAGAGTTTTAGTCCCAGACGCTCAGTGTCTTTGTTTTATTGTGATATACAGGAAGAACTGGACCTCCTCGTGGACAGTGCTGCAGGGTTCCTCCCTGCTCTTTGCTAAGGGTCAAGGAGGCAGCACCAGCTGGGTACGTATCCCAGCAGCCCCCAAGAGGCTTGAGCTTTTTTAGCATTCCATTCATCGCCATGTTATTTCTCTCTTCTTTATCTCTGCATAGTCATCTGTCTTCATTCCAACCCGTGCTGTGAAATGTGTCATCCTCAGTTTATTGCTTCTCTCCCTCTCCTCCCCCTTCCTCTCTTCCTTCCTGAAGTCTTACTACCGCAGCGGCTCCATCCCTGAGCTGCTCCTCACGCTCCTTAGCAACTGGAAGCGCTCAGTCAAGCCCCGCCCTGCTGTCTCCTATGTGAACTGTAGGCCTGTGCAGGCTGCCGCTGTATGTCCCCTCTCTCTGCACGTGTTGCTACCCCCTGTCTTTCATTCTTTCATTCACTTCTGCTTTATCTGACTGAGAAAGCAGTGTTTATGTGTGTGTGAGAAGCTTAATTTAGCTCATTCTAATGTTAAAGCTGCACTAATTGATATTTTCACATTAACATTGGATAAATGACCTTGTGAAAATGGGTTGTAATAATAAACTCACAGAGAAATATCACCTCACTTTCCAGTATCCCCTCAACTCTAGAGAACGTTTTAGCCTCTTTTAGCTAATTGTTTTGGTTTTACTGCCCAAAACTTTCTGGCTTTGGTTCACTCTCATGACTCTCATTAGCATTTCCAGAAGTGGCAGGCAGTTGTTTTCAGCCAAAAAGCTCTGATAATCAAACGGTACACTACCTGCTCAGCACCAAACCAAGTTAGCAACTGGCTGGTACAGTGAGCATAGTATAGCATCTTGAAGCTAAAGAACCAGATATTATTCTCAGAGTTAAATGCAGAATGAATATTGGACTTAGTCACGTGGACACAAACACAACTTCAAATAAATGCTAATGTTGCTCTGCACCTGCTGGATGTGAAATAGGCAGTTGGCTAACATGTTCGCCATAACGACTTTAAAAGGTGATAATACATGTCAGTTATGTAGTAAAAAGTAAATTAAAGCCTTTAAAATGTTGTAAAATAGAATTTCACTTGGATTTATTTTCTTGATTTGTATGAAAACGTGTAAGATATAAAGTCCCTGTTGACAGGAGAGATGTGGAAAGATATGCAACAAAGGGCCAGAGTTCGATACCAAACAGGGATATTGCTGTCCAACTTTATCACTGTAGCCCTGAGGACACAAGGATGGCCCTTTACCAGTGTCTAACTCCAAACATGTCAGTTTAGGTTTTAAGCTCTGTGTGACAACCAGGAACAGGGGTAGGCTCTTTAGCTCTCTCCAGTGGCTCACTGCGGCTTTGACAAAAACATTATATGGAAATGAATAAGTTATTTTTTTAACATTTTTATTTTTATTTATCATTGTTGTAGACCTAAAGTAATGCTCATTCACAGTGATTCTCCAATTCTAAAAATGTTTAGACATTACACAGCAAGCTATGGATTCCAAATCCAACAAAAGAAAAGCCTCAGCAGAAAATAGAGAATTTAATAGTACGTGGAGCGTTTGCTTTTACCACCAACCCTGCTGGCTTACTGGCATGCTTGATCTGCAAAGTTAAATTAGCATTATAAGACTCAAATATGTTTTGCATCTCCGGAAAAAACACCACCAAAAATGGCTGTTTTGATAGTAAAGGTTGCTGAGCCCCGACCTGGAGGACTAGAAGCGCACTGGTCTGTGTCAGAATTCAGTCAGTTGTCTGTTCGACAGTAATGGTGGGGTGGAAACACAAGCAGAATGGTAACAACAGTTATCATTGTTGTTGTTTGGTTACCACTGTTCTGTTCTGTGTGCCACTCAAAGGTTGCATTACACCCAGCAGGATTCAGCTAAAAAAGTATCACATGACTCTAAAAGTCAATGAACAGCTTGGATTTTATATCTAAGAATATAACCAAAAGCATTGTGTGTTCATTAACATGCACATGATATAAATAACAACTAACAGTGTTTTTGCTGTTCTTGTAACACAATACTAAAGATGTGTGTATACATCAAGAGTTCCAAAATGAGATTCTAAGTGTTTAAGGATGTGACACCTGCTTCATTTAGTGTTTGTGCTTTGAAAAAATGCTGAGGACACCTGTCAGAAATTCATATCCCATTTGCAACATTAAGAGAAAAAAACTGCTAAAACAACAGCGTGTCCCTGTTACATCATCTTTGCGTCAGACTCATACCGTTTCCTTGATTCCAGAAGTTCGGAAGCAACCAGTCGAAGCCCGAGTTCACCGTCGATCTGCGAGGGGGGTCGGTGGAGTGGGCCTCCAAGGACAAGTCGAGCAAGAAACACGTCATCGAGGTAAGGGACGCAGTGGATTTGCTGTGGAGTTTGACTCTAGATCATTCTGTATATATGTTTGAATGTGGTGGTTCTGGTAATAAGTGATGTTGACTTTCCCTCCCTCAGCTGAAGACTCGTCAAGGGACGGAGTTGCTGATTCAGTCGGAGATCGACAGTGTCGTCAACGATTGGTATCGGGCCCTCACAGAGACCATCAACACACATGTGAGGAGACTTCTTTCACTAGCAAAAAGTCCAAACCAGAGTGACAACTTCACTTAATAGTTGAATATACCCGAGTATGCTGCATGCTTGGTCAGGGTAAATGAGCCTTAAAATAAGTTGGAGCTGATCTAAATGTGAATGTATCTAAGTCCATATGTGTCTCTCCCCCTATCCAGGCCTGGGAGTCAGATGAGGCCATTGAGGAGGACATGCCAGAGTCTCCAGGAGCTGAGAAACAGGACAAGGAGAAAGACCACCGGGATTCCAAAAAGAACAGAGGTGAGACAGACAGAGACTGTTGATGTCCCTAAAGCATACTCTATATGGTTTGAAATAAAATAATCTTGCCTGTCTTCCTCAGTGATGAAGACCTCTGTGAGTATGGACTCATCAGACCAGAAGAAAACCAGAATGAAGCTCAAGAAGTTCCTGATACGTCGACCCACCTATCAGGCAGTCCGAGACAAGGGCTACATCAAAGGTAGGAGACTAACTCCTGTATGGATACATGTCACTGCTCAGGGTTCCCACGCAGTATGGAAAAGTATGGAATTTGATTTGAGTCATTCCCGGGTCTGGATAAGTATGCACAGCTCTGCCCCAGAGAAGGAAAGATAATGCATCACAAACAACCAAATACTAATTATGTTTTTGATATACTTTCATCTACGTAGAAACAGTGAGTCATTGCTGGCTGTGCATGGGCAGTTATAACCAAATATTAAGCTTGTCTGAACATTTAGGATTAATTCAGAAAAGTAAACAGACATGGCCGGTCAACGTGGCGGTCCTGCAAGGTGACCTGCAGCTTCTATAGATAAAACCTGGAAAATCTAGAAAACCTTGAAATTTAGAGACTGGTTTCCAGTCCTGGAAAATTATTTCTTAAAGAGTGGGAACCCTGTAAAAACAGCTCATTCTAAGGTAACAAAAACACAACAATTCCTATATTCATTATACACTAATGAAAACATTAGCCTTCTAAATGTTACACACTGGACCTTTAAAACTATTTAATTGCATAATAAACATCTAGCTATTTGTACTCAAATGTCAAATGTAGTCAGGAAAATCGACAGAGAAGGCTGAAAATCTGAGTTTGGAAAGTTATGGAATCTTGAAATGTAAAATGTGTAGGAACCCTGACGCTAACAGCAGAGTGTGTGTCCACTGGACAGGTGAAAGTTAAGAACCAGTGTGTGTGTTTGCTCGTTCACAGATCAGGTGTTTGGCTGCAGTCTGACCAGTCTGTGCCAGCGGGAGAACACATCGGTGCCCAACTTTGTCAAAATGTGCATCGACCATGTGGAGAACACAGGTATGAGCCACACCCACCTGACTATCTGAGCTCTCACTTCATTGGTTCTCATTTCCAGTTCTGTCTTTGAGGTAGAAATGACCTAACGCTTTGTTTGATGCACCACCGTTTATAACATGACATTATGGTGCTTCTGTCCAGCAGTAAGTTCAGTCTGTGGCTGGTTGTTAATTTCAGTACAAACCCAGACCTAGAGCCAGTGTTTAGAGGGTTAAAAGTGTAGCAGCCGCCTATCTGCAAGTGGACTTGATGTTCTTTCTGTAAGCTTTGAGCCACTAGGTAACATCCTGTGTAACAAAGCTGAGCTGACAATGCCGCTTGTACTGTAGTCAGTGAGGGGAGCTTCAATACTAAAAAGTACTGATTTGCTCAGTGACACTGATGATTCAGTACAACCACTTCAGCTTGAGGAAGCGGTGACTCATTTAGACTTCTATTCTGTCTTACATAAAGGCTACGGGTGAATCCATTCAGATCATTTTCAGCTCGACTTGCATCAGTTGAAAGCCCTGTATTGAATCGCAGTGCAGTTTCTACGTATTTTTCACTTCCACCTTTTCACCCCGTTTTTTTAAAGAGTTGCTGTTGCAACTTTTTCTCCCTGACGTAATTTCCATCCATATTTCAAGTTTATAACAAGGCTGTTTACAGACAACTGATGCAGAACATCTTTGCGTGTCGTCAGCTGTATCTTTGTTTGTGTTAAGCTGCGCCTTTGTAACAGAAGACATGAGGTGATGCAAGGAAATGCAAAGTGTTTGGATCAGTCAGCCTTCGTTGGCGCTGTTTGTTTGAGGTCAGCTCAGCATGTCGGGACCCACAGTGTTCCCTCCTCTCACCCCTCTCCCGCAGGTCTCAGTATTGACGGCTTGTATAGAGTGAGCGGGAACCTGGCCGTGATCCAGAAGCTCCGCTTTGCTGTAAATCACGGTAGGACTCCAACCCGAAAGAACTAGCTCCTTTCATATGGGATGACACAGATGGTATTTGTGGGACACATACGAAGCTCTCAGCACACAGAACACACACAGTCTCTACACACACATATGTTGATGCATGAGATACTGCTGTAGAAAACACTATTTTCTCCCCTCCCTCCATCAGATGAGAAGGTGGATCTGAATGACAGTAAGTGGGAGGACATCCACGTGACCACCGGAGCTCTCAAGATGCTCTTCAGGGAGCTTCCCGAGCCTCTCTTCTCATACGGATCCTTCAATGACTTTGTTAATGCCATCAGTGAGTGACCTGATTCACTGTGTTCAGAGTGCACGCTTTTTGTCCCCAATTTGGCCACAAGATGGTGCTCTGCTCATGTGCGTTCACTGACTACCTGTCTGTTTCTGTGCTCCAGAATGCTCCGACTACAAGCAGCGAGTGAATTCAATCAAAGACTTAATCAATAAGTTGCCAAAACCCAACCACGACACAATGCAAGTCCTCTTCAAACACCTGCGCAGGTAAGAAAAGAGCAAAAGCACTTTTATTAATCTGCTTCATTTACACAGTGATGTCTTTTAGATGTTATTACCTTTTCATTAGTTTTTTGGAGTTCTTATGCTTATTTATGTCCTGATTTCCTCATTTAAATCTTTATATTTTTTATTATTTTTATATATATCTTTATTATTTTTATATTTCTTGAATTAAATCTAAAACCTTGTACTGTTTGACTTTTTTTTATAAAGGCAAAGATCATTAACTCCGATGTAGTTGTTTAAGTGAAATTAAAGAAACTAACAAAACAAAAAACTACTATTGACTCCATTATGGATCATTCTGAAACATCCAACAGGGACCAAATTGAATATTTTCAGTGGAGAAACTGACTGGTTCCTGCAGAATGCTGAAACTTCTGTCTGGGTTCCTCTTACCCTTTATGCACGTCTTTTAAAAGATCTGGAAAGGATGTGTCAGTAGTTAACTCGCTTTGTAACAGTGTGGGTTTGAAAGTTGTTGTGTTTCACATCCATTCCTATTTTTTAGTTCACAATGTGAAGAAAAATGATACACATTACATCACTGCAAAAAACCTCTGAGTGGTTCCAACCCATCAGAATCGTATGTATCGTATTATCAATGCCAACATGTTTTTCTAACAGTTGCACATTGCAAAACAATGACTGCAAACTCACACACATGCTGGAAACTTGCAACAAGAAGGAGTCATAGGAGAGAGGAAGAGACAGTCTTGTCAAGTGTGGCCTCATTTCACAAAAACACTCAAACTACTATAACTCCACTCTTTTACTGTGTTCAGAGATAATTAAGGAACCAATAAGGGAATGGACAAAGAATTGGACGGTTAAGCAGAATTGATAACGTGATTGGTATCAACAAAATCTTATCAATTCCCATCCCTAGTGTCAATATCTTTGTTGATCTACATTGGACAATTCGACTGTTTTTCTCATATGGTGAACTCACATTTTGATTTGCCTTTGGCTGTCCATGGGATTGGCATCTGATTATTGGTTTTTGTATGTTCTGTAGTTATATAACTCAATAAAATGCAAATTATTAAGAAAAAGGAACTAGTGCCTATGCACTACCTTCGACTGTTGAGACAAACTCTTGAAGTCCACAGTGACTAACTGTAAGAGAGTTTCGTGCACTGGGTCAAAAATGGCACTGGGGATATTTTATTGTGTGTATATGAACTCCTGTTTGACTCTGTGTTTACCTTTCCTCAGACTGATCAGCCTGTGGGCAAACACAAACTGCAGCCAGGTTTAACGTGTATTCTTAGCCCACTGGAGCCAGTGGCAATATCATATGTTCACAATGACATTTGCCTAGGTTTCCAATTTGCATTTATATGGCACTGTGTTTGCTGTAATTCAGTACCTATGAAGTGCTGTTTCTTGAGGAAATTTATAGCGTGACATTCAGTGTATGGAGGTCTACGTATATCAGCGGGCGGATTTAATCTCCTTTTTTCCCTCCCTTCTATGAATATGTTATTGTTTTGTGCATCTGCATGCAAGGATGTAGATTCTATTTAAAAAGGCTATTATGCTCTAGCCCGGAGCATTCAGTAGTGTTACAGAGTGTGCGTCAACTTGCGAGGCTTGCCTCAGCGCTCAAGCCCAAAAGATGTGTAATGTTGTTTTTCTTGATGAAACCAAAGGTTGTCAAATAAATCCACGCTCAACTGATGCCATTTATGACACATTCCATCTGTAAATCTCCTCATGTTCGCCTCTCTCCCCCCAGGGTGATCGACCACGGGGAGGCCAACCGCATGACCACCCAGAGTGTGGCCATCGTGTTCGGACCCACGCTGCTCCGGCCCGAGACCGAGACAGGCAACATCGCGGTCCACATGGTCTACCAGAACCAGATAGTGGAGCTCATACTGCTCGAGTACGAAAGCATCTTCGGCAGGTAGAGGCACCCACCTGGGAAGAGGATGCAGGGCTTCTTCAAACACAAGCTTCTTTTCCTTTTTTCCCCCCTTTTCTTTGACTGAGCTGAACATTGCTGTGGACCAAGCAGTTAGGAGAAAAAAAATCGAATTCACATTCATTGACGGGACAGTTTACGTAAAGTGTTGCACTTACAGAAGTTTTGCAGATGAATTAAGAAAAAAAAAAAAAAAAAGGTGTACAGATTTCACCCGCTTTTTTTCAGTTGCCATTCCTGCTACGAGTAGCGGGCCGGACAATGGACAGTGTTTCAGAGTGATGCCGTGGTGACGTCCGTGTGATTTTGGTGGATTTGAGTATTCAGGTGTTTTCACATACACTGGATCCCTGTGGCCAGTAATTTTCGAACTTCAAAGCGGAGCCGGTGGCACCCTTCGCCTACTGGTTGGAAGCCGACCGTAACTTGGCGGGGGGGCGGCCAAACCGGCAAACCTCATCATCCCGCTGAGGGAAGGAACAGAGTCTGGACTGGATAGGTTTCTGCGTTGTGGAGCTTTGTCTGTGATGTGTCAGCCGTACGTGGTTTTGGATTAGGTGGAAAAAATAATCAGTGTTACGTTAACAGTCTGTCTTTTGGCACTTGGATGAACTGGAGTTACAGATTGTGTCCCCCAATTTCCCACAATCCCACTTCAGTACCCTAACCCTTAAGTGACACCATCACCGCCCTTCCTCCCTCGACCCCCACCTCCCCCCTCTCTACCAGTGTTAAGCATTAACCCTGTGACACGAGCGTCCTGTGACTTGAATGATGGAGGACAGACCCTCTGTGTGTGTGTGTGTGTGTGTGTGAGCAAATTAACCTAAATGGAATAAAACCTGAGCAGAAGCACCCTCGTCTTGCCACTTTGTACAAACTGTGTGTCGTTTAGTCTTACGTGCTTTGGTAGTTTCTGTTAAGCTGCCGAGGGTCATCGTCAGTGCTCCTATGTGAACTTCAGTGTTGGATTCTTCAGTGGCAGGTAAAGTCACAGAGGTCCTGGTTGTTACTGGAAAACAGTAAAAGTGGATTTCTGGGAACTGCAGTGTTACCGATTTTTACATGAATTGTCTCTGACTGTCGGCTTGATGACCCTTCTCTTCACCTAAGCTAACGTTAAAGAGTATCCAGAGAACGGGAATTGGTACTGAGAATATTTCAAAGGTTGATGTATGGGAGCGTATGGGTGTTAGAATGCAAAAAAGAGCCTTTAAAAACCTTTCAGAGCATATGTACAGTGACAGAAACTAGTTGTTAAAATGTGTTATAGTGACAGGTATGTATGCTTTCATGGTGAACTAGTGAAAGAGGATTTTGATTTTGTAAATTTGAATTAAAACAATACACAGATTGTGAAAAAAACAAACACATGATTGACTGTTACTTTTGTTTGAAGGTGTATCTGGAGTGTTTGCGCATGGTCAGCTGCACATTTTGAATGTAATTTCAGGCTAACTGCTGTTTGTGAAATTGCTATGTCTAATAAAAAAGACAAACCAAACGCTCAGACTGTGAAGGGTGTGTTCTTTGTCAGAATATGAAGTGAAATGTCCACAGTGGACGGAGACGACAGAGAGAGAAAGGTGAGTCTGCTGTTTAACCTTCAATCAACTCTAATGCTTCACCTTTCCCTCGGCTTTAATTACAGAATTGAATTAATCTACTCAACTGATATCCTGGTTATTGAATTGAGTGATTAAGCTTTCGTGTCTCAATCAATTATATTCCTACCTGTTAATTATGAAATGAACTGCAGTATATTTCTGGAGATTTCTCAAATGCAGCGCAACCTCTGCTGCTCAGCTTCCATTAATCTGATTTCTCCGTTCTTCGAAGGCATTTTTGTCATTACTCCTCAGGTCAAACTTGGCTGCAGACCTGAAGGGTGTGGATTAATTGATGTCTAATTAGGTAATTGCCACGGTGCCAGTTTTGATTAAGAAGCACGAAGCAGAGCGAGTGCTAAGCAAAGCTGCTTGCTGCAGGCAGCACTGAGCAAAAGCCTCCATTTAGTGTTCCCTTTGTTTTTACTGCAGGGTGTGTGTGCGCTTCTGTGTTGGGATATGCTTTAAAAGAGTATGGAAGCTCATTTGTGCCAAACAGAGGGGAAAATTACAGTGATAAAAAACTTAAAGCATAATATATGATCAGTAATGAGTATTATATGCTACTATCAGATATTTTCATCAGGTACTATTCATTTAAATCAGTGTTTATTGATTTCAAATTAAATCAAATCAATGTATATTAAATCAGTATACTGTATATTGATAAAAAATTTTCATTTTGCATAGCCAGCCAGCCAGCCTGCTGCTGTCCGTCAAACTCGGAAGTCAATATGTCAGGGTGGTCCTGCTAGCATGGTTAGCTTGCTAACTTCAGTGGATGGCCTATCTCTGCAACACAATACATGAACGTCAAAACTGTTATTATATTTTAGTATTTTTTTTATGTTTTAAACTAAAATTCTTGCATCCAACTCCTTTAAGTCAAAACCATGATAGTCATTTTGACTTCTAAGTTTAAAATTGTTATAAGTTGAAAAAAACTACCTATTTCTTTAAAAGTCGAAGTTGAAAAGGAGTTGAAAGTTGAAATTATGAGTCTTGTAATGTAATTTTGATTAACCTTTTGTAAAATTAAGTATCTCATTATTTAGATTTTTATCAAATTTTTTGTTTCATAATTTGAAATTAAAAAGGGATCTTAATTTCACCATCTAAGGACTGAAACATTAAATGGGTTCATGTGCATGGGATTCTTCAGCCCTACTTTTGTTGTAACTGAACTCAAACATGTCTCATTAGTTTCATGTACCACAAGTATTTTGTTCTTCCTAACTTTTCCCAACAGTTCCCAACAACTTCCCAGATGGTTCTGTGTAACAACCACTGAAAGATGAAATAAATGATGAAATGATGTTTACTCTGGACAACCAACAAAAAACATTGTCAATAGAAATCACTGGAACTATTTTCTGTTGAAGAAATAGTCTGACCTTTAAAACTTCCTGCAACATCAAATCTGATAGAGTGAACTGACCATGTTAATGTAATTCAGGAATGTAGCTAATTCAGCAAACCAGACCAAATATCCCTTCACAGAAAACTTGAATTTCACATTTACAGAAATGTGTGAAATTCATGTGTTCACATGTGACCACACATGCATGTGTTTTTGTCATGGTTTTGGAACATTTTTGTGGTGTAATGTGTGATTGTGTTGCAACATGTGGTAGCATCTTTCCTACATGTAAAATTCATGTGTTTTTTTGTAAGGGATCCTGTGAATCTATTTTGTCCTGGAAAATTGTATTGTATTTTAGCCCTTCTTTGTCTTATTGACATTGATAAAAACGTGCATGGTGATGTTAATTGTATGTGCAACAAACACTTTCTGCTTCTTCTTTTAACTGGCAACTAGGTGAGGATACAAATTCTACTTAATTTGAACCAAAGAAATGTTACAGTTAGAGGAAAACTAGTAGAATTTAGTCAATTAACTGGATGACGCAGCAGAAAAGTCAGCATTTAGTCGGCAAGTTGGTTCATTGTATGAGTGCCTGTAATAAACCTGAGCCACTTCATCATGTACCTGCATCAGTAAAAAAAAGGAGGAATAAAATTGGACTTAAATGTGTAAATACTAGGCCTACCAGTAAATAATATGACAGTTTGTTAACAAGTGCTGTCTTGTATTGTCACTCCTGGAAAATTTATTTTTTTAAAAGGAGTGGGAACCCTGGACTGCGTGAGTGCTTGCCAGAATCTCATCAAAATGCTCTCGTATTGTTTCATATTATATCTTTCTCTGACTTGTTATGTGAATTTTGATTCAGTCATAATTATAACTTTGTATTTCATAAATTGAATGGAGGATTCTTTGGTTTCTCTACGAGTTTTTGATTGTTGACTCACCAAACTTTGCTTTTGTCATTACACTTAACACAATTAACACAAAGTTAAGATTTTGACTCAGTAACTCATAATGATGAATTCTTAACATACTCATAATATTCACTTCTGAGTATTTAACTTTTGTTATTCCTATCTTTTTAACTATTTCTTTCGTTTTCCTGGCACTAACAGCCTTCCATAGATTCTCTGAGGAACCAGAATGGACGTTTTCATCCCAGGTTTGTTTTATGTGTATTTACCGCCACATGTGCCCTCCTCCCTCCTCTGATCGCAACCATTCCTCTTTGAAGTCAAATCGAACCCCCTCACCTCTCTTGCCTACGTGTTAATTTACTGCAACAGGTTTGACTTATACCCCAGCTCCAGCTCTGTTTTGACAGGACGGACCACCTTGGATTCGACAAACGTGTCGGAGGTAGGTAGCACTGAATCATGTGCCCCGTTGGAAACCACAGGCCGTTAAAACCTGAGATGCAGGGAGGAGGGCCCCCAGTATTTCCAAATGAGAAAACAATTAGATCATTTCTATAATTCATGGGTGCGACCACAGCTCAGGCCCGGAGAGGCTTTGAGTGTTTGAAGTGCTCCATATGCTCACGGTGGTTTTCAGGCCTGATCTGCTCAGTGCTGGCCCGACCTGCTCCATGGAGGCTGAGGTGTGGGCAGGTAATGTGAACAAGCCATTATGAAGCATAAAAGATTTATGGGTCTTCAGTGCTTCCCCCCACCGCTTCATTTGCAGGTGGGTTGTCGGCAAAGTGGCTGGATACGGAACAAAATGGTTTAGAGGTTTTGCCACTGTGTGGTAAAGACCCCGGTACTTTACTAACTGCTTTTTACTCAGAGCTCAGTGAGCAAATAGTGCTGTTAGTTTGTGATTATTAAAGAGTTAGAGTGCTGAAACAGCATTTTAGCAGACACTTTTAAAACCCCATAAATGTTACAGTTTAGGAATCAAATCACATGTTGGTCAAGAATGTTAGCAAACAGTTGCTAATTTACACATCCAGCAGTTGCAGCACAACATATTCATTCAATGGAGCCACATAATGAATGCAACTAACAATTACTCTTCTTTTAGCTCTGTTTTTCCTCTCCACCATCTGACTCTTTCGCTGCTCAATGCTCCAATATGTTCATCAGCTAGTAGCTAACTTTTTCTGACGGCTGTTTGGTGATGAGCAGTTAGCCGTACAGTCAGTTTATCAGAGCTTTGTAGGAGAAAACATCTGCTGTCTGCGGCTGCAAATGAGGTTGATAAGAGCGGTGAGACTGAACCACAACAGTAAGGTTGAAGGCTGTAAAAGCAAACAAATGCTGGAACTGGACGATCATTCTTTGTGTGTTTGTCACCCTAAGCACTACCATTCACGTTACACTTTGCCTTTTGATCCATAATTAATATAAAAATATTGATTAGTGCAGCTTTAGACAGTTTAAATCAAGTTTCACTGTATACATTTTTACATAGAGGCAGTAAAATCTGATATTTTCTCCAAATGATCTGGCATTTGTCTGACAACATGTAATATTTTATTTGACTGCTCTCGCAGACTAATGTACAGCTTCAGCATCTAGAGTGTCTGCCTATACCCCCACCCTACCTCCAGTCTGAACAACTGTTCCATTGTAATCCACCATCATAAGGCCCTTTGCTACACCCTGCTAGAGTGATATTGCTCTTCTTGGCAAGTGGGACCCACCTTGGGCCCCCATTTGCTTAGCATGGCTAATGTGCCATCAGCCTGTAGGCAACAGATGCAGGAGCCATATTTACAGAGGGCCCACAAGGCTCAGCTGAGCTGTTCTGACTCATTGTGGTTGTGTGTATGTGAGAGTCTTATGATCCATCACATGCTGGATTTAAATCCAAAGAAATAGAAATAGAAATATAGGCACAGTTCATCTAGCCATGCAGATAGTTTGGTTCCCAATGACTGATTATCTAGACAAATAGTAATCAACAAAATACTTCTGGGAAGCAATTTAGTATTGCACATTGTTGGGAGACTTACAAGAGATTGCAGAAAGAATGGTCAGTGGGTGAGATACCCTGATTTCTAGGGTTATATTTAAATGAATGAATTGAATGAATCCTACAATTCCCATAATGCAACTCAATATCATCGTTCATAAGGCGCTCCTTGTAAAGGCCAACATTTTTCAACCTCCAGCTATCCATTCTGAAGATCTGAAGTCTCAACTTAATTTGAGATAACCCTGCTGATATCATCAGAGTTATTTCCTCAGAATACATCAGACCGGCACAAAGCATTGT